GAAGGAAAGGGGTCTACTCATATATATAGGGGTGGGTGACCCACCACCTTGAGTGTGCTGCCATGGGGTGGAGTGTACGGCCGCACACCCATGTGTACGGCCGTACACTCTTCCTAAGAGAGTGTATGGCCCGATTTTGCTACTTTGTGACTTGGTAACTCATCCCTAATTTCAACCTTGGTTGTACTTGAGCTTAGAACACTTAAATGAACCCTTAAACAGTGCTAAAAGGCCACATAAACGAGTTTAACATTGATTGAATTGACTAGATGTACAAGATAGAAGTTCCGGGTTGTCACATTCAAGATGTTTCGGAAACTAGAAAAACTTTCGGATGACTTTCCTGTTTACGAAAAATTCTGATTCCTAATTCCCATGCGGTGGAAAATCCATTTTCATCACATGGAAAATCAAAAATTTCGCGCATGGGAAGATTCTATCTCCCACGACGTGGCGTTTGGAATCTTCTCGATTCTTGAATGAAGAGCTTCTCACGACGTGAACATCTATTGGTCACGACGTGAAGACATGTCAATTATAGAACCTTCTCCAACATGCACGGAAGCCTTGGCGCATACGGGATTAATATGTTTCTCACGACGTGACACTCATATTGTCACGACATGAAAGCTGAATTAAGGCAAGTATATATTTTGGACTTTAGGTACAAATCAGAAGACTTTGGCTAGAGATCCGCGATTGAAAACCGAAAAATACCATTCTAAGAACTCCTAGAAGGCAGAAGAAGATAAGAGATCAAGAGTTTACGAGATTAGAGCAAGAATACCATATAATTAATTCGATTTGCCTAGACCTAATCATGTTTAACCAAGATTTCTATTTGATTATGTGTTTTACTTCTATAATTATGGGTTAATACCCTTTAACTTTCGTTTAGATTAGATGATCCCTAATACTATGTGTTAGTTTCTCTTTTCATGGATTATTGAAGTTGGTATAGCTTGTGTTTGACAAATCACTACCTACTATGTTAAAGTTTCTATCTTTACTACTTATCATTCAAGTTTTGTGTAGTTATATGACCACTTTGATTGCATAAACTTATTTCCTGGTTATTTATGACCATTAAGTTGTTAGAGCTAGTGATTTACTAATCTTAGATTAGGTGATAAAGTTAGTTGCTTAAACTGTGCTAGAGAGCATTATTTGATCATAATATGTGATTTGGTTATTTGTCTTATTCATAGATAATTAATCCTTAGATTTACAATTCATAGCCCAAAATCTTCATAATTAATTAGGTGCCCTACTTGTACAAGACCATTTCCTAGTAGTGCATGAATCGGTGAAAACATTAGGATATGGGACAAAGACTTCTAGTAATATTTAAATTGGTAACCAACTGAAATTAATCCATGTATTGAAATTAACCATTGGAGAAATGGTGATTCGAAGCTAAACGGAAGTATCCCAATCTCTTGATTTTAAAATCGTCTTTACTTATTGCTTTAGTTTAAAAAATTTTAGTAATTAATTTAAGTTAATCTGAATTTAAAGAATCAGATAAAACCCCCCAATCTTTGTTGTTTTTCTTACTTTAACTTTTAGTCTTTATTTTTTTAATTAAAATACCGTTCCCTGTGTTTGACTCCTTACTTACTCAACTTTACTACTACGTGACTAGGTACACTGCATATTTGTGTTTTAGCTAACTTGAATAATTAGGATTATAAATTTAAAGTTTTTTGGTATATATAATAAACACATCAAGTTTTTTGGCGTCGTTGTCGGGGAGCGGCTTATTTTAGTTTTAATTTAATTTATATTAGTTAATTGATCCTTTTTGTGTGGTAAAAACCTCAAAAGTTAAGTTATAGCGTTGTTTTAATTTTCTGTTTAATCAACTTTCATGACGTGACTATTTATTCGCCACGAAACTAAAAGATTTCAGTTTTTAGTTTATCTTGTTTTAGTTCGTTTTTATGTGTTTTCTCTATTTTATTTCAGTAGCACATGACCAGGGGATCTTCATCAAAAATTGTGCCCCTACTTGACGATTCGAAATCTGCATTTCACAAGAAAAAGGACAAGAAGATTGACGAAGACCATTCACAATCCAGTTTCAAGTCGGACGTGATCTCACCTCTGAAAAGAAAACCCGACGAGCAAGAGAGTGGGTACAAACGAGAAACAAAATCTGAAAGTGAGGGCTTTGGCAGCCTATAGATGCGACTTTTACTTCGTTTTGAAGTCCACAAACCCTCTAGGGGTATAAAAGATTAACTATTAAGTATTTAATGTGTTGAGTGAAAAGTAGACTCAATCTTATTAGTCTTGCAAAATTATAAAACTATCCCCTAACTTTAAAAAATCATATTAAATAACTGGAATGTCCAAATTGCATAAAAACATTTCCCTTAGAAGTTATGAAAGGATGTTTGAATTGCGTCTTAATTAATCATAAAGTAAATTAGAGTTAATAGAAGAGAAAAATCTAAATAAGATCTAGTTTCAGTTCTATTATCCAGAGAGAGTACAAGTGAAGTTGCAATGAGAAAGAAAACTCAATGCGTACAAGTGTGAAAAAGTTACGAATCACTTAGGTACCTAACCTATTTATTGGATACTCACGGATACAAAAAATATTAGGACTCGACATTAAATAACGAATCTCTAAAGTGCCTAGCAAATACATACATAACGAAGTCTTGTGGACCTTCGTTATTTACAAACAATCATAATCAAGATAACTACCTAAGATTCGACATATTACAACACATATAGACTCTACAAGTTATTGATGAATAGTTTCATCCATCCATAGTGAATTTTTTTCTAACTACATTGGTAGTGGAATTTAAATGAATGCAGACTAGTCAGAAAATCACTAATGACTTTATGCATTTTGTATAATTCATAATTAAATGTAGGAGACTCCAAATTTCATGATATTTTGGCACGTAACTTGGTAATTATGTCAGTTTCTTCCACCAAAATACCTTAGCCTCATTCCATTCCCATGTTGTATGGAACTGGCATTCTTCACATAGTAGTTTAGAAGATGGTTGTTTGCAATAGCCATTTTGTAAGATATGTAATTAATTCTAGAAAATTCGAATTGACATGAGGTCTTGTACTAAGTTTACGCCTTGTTCCCGAGTTTTTTTGTAAATTCGTTAAAGGAAAGGGAAGGAAAATTTTGACGGAAAGAAAGCGAGGTGAAGGAAAATATTCATTATTCCGTGTTCCCGAGTTCGAAGAAAATGAAAAGAAATGAAAGGAAGATTTTAAGTTTTTGTGTTCCCGAGTAGGAGGAAAAAGAAAATAAAACTAAAAATTTTCATTCCCCCCGCTTTCTTTCCAAATCCCCCCAATTTGGGAGGGAAATTTGGAAGGAAAATATGACTCCAAAATCCTTCCCCTCCCCTCACTTTCCTTCCATTAATGAAACTCGGGAACACGATTTTCCTTCGATACCCCTCACTTTCCCTCCGTATCCTCCCATTTCTCTTCTTAAGTAGAACTCGGGAACAAGGCGTTAGAGAAAGGAGTATAGTAATACTTTTTACCAAGACATAATCTTCACTCCTTCGATTGTTTTGGTAACCATCTTTACAGATTGGTCCAAATTGTTGAATGGTTTTTATAACAAATCTGTAGGATTTATAGAAAATGATGGAAAAAGCATTAGAGCATGTTCCTTATGTTACCTAAAATCTAAGGAGATGTTCTTTAATAATAACTATTTAGTTTTAAAAGAAATGGAGATAAGAGGGATAAATCGGTCCACGAACCAATTGCTATCATGATATTAGAAGAGAATAAAAAATATATTATGAAGTATTAATACATAATACATGAAATATGAGTTAAGTAAATATTATTAAGTTGGTTGTATATAAATATGTAATACATGAAATATGAGCTAAGTAAGGATTATTAATGTGGTCGTAGTTGTTTAGAGAGTTGCTTTTGGTTAGTTACATTAACTCTCTTATTATGTGGACTATATGATTAGGGTTAAAGTTCTTGACTCAAGCCTATTACACGAAAGTGGTCAATGATTGGTCAACCATGAGAAGCCTCTTAGAGCAAATCTATTGTGTCAGCTCTTGACAAAGCCTCTTAGAGGAAAATGATGAGTTCTTATATTGTAGTATCTTGGAAACCCCTCGGTCAAAAACCAATTTACTATAGGGTAGAAGTTGGTGCTGGAATTATTTGATATGTGATTGTGTGTTATGTGCTATGTATTTCATGTGTCGATGTAATGAGTATTGTGTATACTCAGTAAGCCTTATATTTACCCGTTGTTTATTAAAAAAAAATTAAGACCCC